AGACGGGGTTCGACATGATGGTCTCGCGCCGCATGTCGGCGTTGATGTCGGTGAGCCGCGACACCTGCCGGGTGTTCATCCGGAGCGACCACAGATCGGCCGGCGACATCAGCGAATCCTGGGAGAAGAGCAGCAGGTCGGGGCTGGCCCACTGCGGGTTCGCGTTGTGCTTGGCGCCCACCAGCTCTTCGACCTTGCCCGATGGCACACTGTAGAATGCGTGGAATGTGAATGGCATGTGGTCAGCCAACAGTTGTCGTGTCGTGTGACCGAAGAGGTACCTGATGGTCCACAGCTTGTGGTTGGCGTTGTCGGAGGCGTCGGCGACCAGGAACTGGCTGTCGAGCGACCACAGCACGCCATCCACCGATCGATCCCACTAAATAGAAATAATAATAATAAATACTTAAACAATAATAATAAAATAAAGTGAGGGCGAGCAGGTACGTGGGCGGTGAGGGGAGCGGTGGTCTTCTGGAGGCGATTGTAGAGGTTGACGTGCAGACGGTCGGCCTCAAACCCGGGACGGTCCATCGCCCTGTAGACCGAAAACAGCATTAATCAATTGAGTGCCTGGATGTCGACGATGATGAAGAAGAAAACAATAATGGTGATGATGACGATGCTGGGTCGGGCGCGTACTGGTAGGCCAGGTACTTGCCGTCGGGCGAGTAGGTCGGGTTCTGGGTGCGGGCCTTGGTGACATTGTCCACAATGTTGCTGGAATGTTGATTGGGTGATAGATGTTGATTGGTGATTGGTCACACTAGTTTTATCAAAGTGTTTTGAACAGCAGTGGGGGTCTGCGCACGTACCGGAGGCTACCGGTCTCGGGACCGTGCTGGCCGATGGCCACGGTGAAGATGCGCCAGCCGGTGCTCCACGCCGTCTCGTGGTTGATCATCTCCGCAGTGAAGGCGATCTCCTTGCCGTCGGGCGACCACGCTGATGAGAGAACGAATGCGTCAGAGTCAGCGAAGCGGTGGACCCAGGCAGCAGTCAAAATGAGGGGGGCAAGAGTCCTGCGCAGCAGTCGTTACCGTATTGCTCGGCCCCGCCGAAGGGAGGCACGGGAGCGGCCGCCTTGAGGCCGTACGAGATAGGAAGCGCCGGGTACAGGGCCTTGAATCCTGAACCTGCCGCACCGTTCGTTCAGCTCATTCCCAATAAACAATTAAACAATCAAACAAATAAACAAATAAACAAATAAATAGCAAAGATAAAGGTGCGAACACGACACGAGTCGGCCGTACCGTCGACGGTCTTGGCGAGGCGCAGGACAAAGAGGCTGTTGTGCTTTCCCTCGGTCACGTAGGCGTCCCAGTGCCTCACGTAGAGGCTCGTGTACACGAATCCGGTGTTGGGACCTGGTCCACCCCCGAAAAGACAGCCGGTGTGCGACACAAGCCATGAACGTGTGTCAACTCAACCGTGCTGCAGTGCTCGAGCGAGGTCTCACCATTGAAAAAGCGACAGATAGAGGGAAAGAGAGGGGAGCGAACCGCGGGCTTCGACTTCCTTGTTCTTGTCGGCGGTGCACTGGAACATCTGCTCGGCGGGACAGTCCAGGTACACGCTCGCAGAGAACGACAGGTACTCACCTGCCGCGCACGCAGAACGCAAACATTGAGACGACTGGCCACATTGCACACATGCCACACACACGGCGCACCACAACCACCATCCTCATCAACACGAGTGAGTGAGTGAGTGAGTGGCTGACCTGTGGGTGACCAGCGCAGGCTCTCCACGTCCAGCGGCAGGTCGGTCAGCTGATACACGGCATCCTCGCCGCCAGTGGCCTTCACGCCCCACACCTAAGCACCGTACAAGTACGTGAGTCGCGATCGTCTCCTTGAGAAGAAAAGAAGAAGAAAAAAGCGAGAGAATGGTCCGCGCAGGGTTGGGCACTCACCTGAGAGGAGCCGGAGCGGGAGGAGAGGAAGACGAGGTGGGCGCTGTCGGGGCTCCAGCACGGGCTGTTGTCGCTGACGCCCTCCTTCGTGGTCACGCGCCGCACATGGCCCTGCGCAATGTCAAGCATGTGCAGGCTCGTCGTCGTGCTCGTGCCATTCTTTTACATAGGCGTGTGGGCACGAGGAAGCAGATATCAGGCAAAAGCTCCGACGTGTGTCGTGTCGTGTGCGGTGTGCGTGTGCGGCTCCAACGTACCCACTTGCGAACGGTGAAGGCGGCGAGCTGTCCGTTGGGCGAGACGGAGAGG